GTTCGAGAAAACGTTCCTCTGGAAAACCTTTGTAGTTTATGTTACTTCATGTCAGTATCTTTCCAACCTCGTTTGAAAATTTTCAAACACACTAGACTTTGTGAGGTTGTGCCACTATTGCTTCGTTACTTAACTACGACATTTTCATTCAGCCAGGTACACCATCAAATTGATCAAAATGTCAAATGTATAATAATAATGAGAATTGAAGCTATTTCGTTTCAGATATATTAATATACTCAGTGCTGGATCCAGCAAAGTGTTTTTTTTTAGGGGGTGCTAACCAATAGCGAAACGAGCGCCGAAGGCGCGAGATTTCTAGGGTGGTCCGGGCATACTCCCCGGAAAATTTTTAAAATTTGGGTCTCTGAAATGGCATTTCCAGCATTCTGAGAAAACATTCTGGAAAATTTTTAGATTCTCAAAACATTTAAAAATTCAGAATATTTAATATTGGCTATTCCGTTATTGTCAACTAGTGATACGCAACTGAATTCCTTAACATAAGTTGGTTAGAATTAGGATAAACATAATTTTTGCACCCTCCATGCACCCCTGTTGACCAGAGCCTTGGGGGGGGGGGTGCCCCGCACCCCCCTAAAATGCCCCGCACCCCCCTAAATCCACCACTGAATATACTTAGGGAATCATTGAAAATAATTTCCCTTTCCCCCCAGAATTTGGGCGCCCAAAAGCGTCCACTTTTTGTTCTAGGAGGGGCGTCCCAGGACGCCTGGACGCCCTTCTGGCTAAAAGCCTGCTTGCGAGTAGAGCTCGACAACTAGACTCTGTAGCTCAGATAGTTGGTTAGAGCGCTGCACCGGAATCGCAGGGCTGCAGGTTTGATTCCTGCCATGCACATAGTCTACAGTTGCATTTTCGCAGCTGCTCCTGGTTAAGTAGACAGTTGCAGTGTAGTAAATGGTAGCCTGCGTGCAGGCCCAAGGGAACTGAATCAACTGATAGTGGGCCTGCAACCATCACCCCATGTTTTCGATTTTCGCCGGCCGAACCGCCGGCTAAATTCCCATTGGCTAGCTGAGGCGATCGGTAATTAATTAACCTAGCGTGCAGGCCCAAGGGAACAGTGATTCATCACAAAGGCATAGACAAAGGCTCTCGATAAGCTTAAAATTTGAAAATTGATCACTTTTTTCGATTACAAATGGAACAAGAACAGACTGTTTATTGTTTACTTGAAGGAAGACATGTTTTTGCCGTTATGCCAATGGGGATTGCTTGTCGTGAGGTGTTGGAATAGCAAATTACGACTGGGGTAAACTATAGTAACCTTTACTGACTTGAGTTTCATTAATTTCAAACAGACTTCAGTTGATACGTTATGTGTTCTCACTTCCTCAAGAAAATTATTTTTTGGTTGATGTTGAGATGCAGTTGCATGTAAGGACTGTAAGCCTATTCGAAACACTTTGCGATTTACAAGGCTTCGCTGAGAGAGCGAAACAGAAGGCGGTATTAAATTGCCGTTTGAAACGAAACGATCTGGACTCGGAACGCTCTCTTCTTTTGTAGAGTTCTTTACCAAATGAAATAAATTTCGTACTTTCCGCCGCCAACAAGAATTGCACACACGATCTGATAAGTGAGACAATTTATTTATAACAATGCCAATGGCGACAGCGAAGCACACATAATATAAATCCTAATGTGGTCGCACGACTTCTCTCATGATTTGAAGTTTGAGACTGGTTTTCTGTTGAAATTCGTCCTAATTTGCCTGTTCCGATTTTAGTTGAAAATGAGCACTTGCAAATTTGGCAATTACTGACTGCGTTGCTTGCTTTTTTGGAGTTAAAACGCAGCCATTTACACATTGTTTATTAGTGTTCTGAATAACCAGAGAAAACCCCGCAAATTTTAATGCGAGTTTGTTTGTTAATATTTGGGTGCTGTCATTGGTTCTTTTTTGACAATTGACGCGCGAATGGGGCGTGTTATGAAAAGGGGCGTTTTACAAAATACCGGGCGATGGTTGCAGGCCCACTATCAGTTCCCTTGGGCCTGCACGCAGGCTAAGTAAATGGTGAACTATCTGCTTTTAAGCCAGTCAACTATATGGATCTCGCAGGGTTCAATCATTGGCCCTCGTGCATTTTAACGGAATAGTTGCATGTTTGAACAATTGGTATATTCTAATGCATGCGGATGATACACTAATTTATTACTCTCACAAGAACATCGAAGAAATAGAAGAGAAGTTACAGGGAGATTTTGCCAACAACACATTATGGCTCCAACAAAATCAACTAATTATGAACATGAAAAAAGGGAAAACAGAAAGTATGCTATTTGGAACTGAAAAACGGCTGAGTACTTAGAATGACCGTCAGATGAACCTGGAACACAATAGTTTAAAGGTTGGCTCCACGTCATACTGTATAAGTACCTTGGAGTTCACCAGCCAAGCCTAAACATGAATAATCATGTGCATAAAAAAGCTTCCGGATATCTTAAACGTTTGCAAAAACTCGCCCTTTCCTATCTATGAAAGCTTCTTCCTTGGATATATATCCATTTGTTAACATATTGTTCTTTAGTCTGCACATGTTCCACTAGCACACAAAATAAATGGCTGGAGGGTTTTGTTTAAAAAAAGATGTGTCAAAAGTTTTTAAATTATTTCACTTTAATAGGCACTTCCCGAATTTGCTTGAGTGCACACGAAACAATAGCTTGGAATCGAGGCGGACAATGTAATCATGTAGTTATTTACAATGATTACATTGTCCGCCTCGATTCCAAGCTATTGTTTCGTGTGCACTCAAGCAAATTCGGGAAGTGTCTATTGACTCTATTGGAAATTAGGGTGTTTATAGCGTAAAACTCTCGAAAGTGAAGCTGGGAACTGCAAAGAAAGGTTTCTACTTTAATGAAGGAAAACAGTATAATGAACTACCGCTATAGGGATTCGCAAATCTGAAACTCTGTAGCCTGCGAACAGACTCACTGGGAGAAAGGTGATCCTGCACGGACCATGCGTTATATTCAATCATCTCCTTTTCGCATCTGCTAAACGCGAACCAATCAGCGCCGACTGCTATAAATAAACTGTAAACTGTCAAATTGACGCAAGGCCGGCTACGCTCGTGTTCCAAAATCCGCATGTAAAGTGTAGTGAAATTTATCTCATCGTAATATTAAATCCTAAGAAAACTAAAGCCTCTGCGGAGGAGAGAGGACGCAAGGCGTGTATATTGTACAACGAAGAAATGTAATGTATATATAAACAATAATACGAAGCATTAGCAAGCCGCACAATATATTACTCGGAAAAAATATAGAATTCTCCAGATAATAGATTAAGAGTTAATAATCAATACACGTACAAATATAAAGGCAGACGAATAAAATACTACCATTGGCATGAATGTAAAGAATACTTGTACTATGTGTGATTTAAAGAACAATGTTCTGAATATTTGAAGGAATTAAAATACAGTCAGATAGATTGGGAACCGAATACGTCTAAAATTTTATAAACTGTGGTCTAAATGAGCATGTATTTATTAATTTCTTCGAAATCACGAGTGTGCCAATAGTGGAAGCCGTTCGACGACAAAATTGTCAGCAGTTTATACAGTAAATAGTACAACGTTTAATGTACGACTTACGCCATTCGCACGATATATATTTATCTAAATGACATGCCAGCGAGGATCAACAATGTAATTTATATTCGTACATATTTGGGTATCTTTTGTATGCCTTCGCTTGCTCACTAACGAGAATAATCCGTGAAGCCATCTCTAGTATATGTCAATGTAACGTCTGCAATACGACGACCTCAAAATGTACTACACGATAGTTTGATGTCAATCCGAAGACGATGTTCAGAATAGTTTTGTGTGTTGGATTTAAGCGATAGATTCAAGTCATTTATGATACACGTTTTTGCTGTGATGCTTTGCTTTTGCTTTTAGTTTCCATTTCTATTTTTATTTTGTTCGATAGTCTTATAATATTAAAGTTCAAAATGCTGTTGTGTACATTTGCTATTTTTAGTAATTTTGTCAACGAGTGTAAGCCAATCAGAAGCCTGCGTTTCTATACGAACGCCACTACCAAGAAAACCTATAGTTCCGTGCAGGCCCTCCTTTCTTCGCACCGCCCGTAACCCAGGAGGGCCTGTTCGCAGGCTAGAAACTGCGATTTTTTACGGAAGAACGTATATTATATAATAACTGCAGTGAAACACGCAATTTGATTAGTCAATAGCCGTGCAGGATCAGGCTATCCTGCACGAGGAATTAAAATGCCTTCGCGGGATTTTCGCGGGATTCTCAAAATGTCATTGTTTCATTGTACAGTAGTTATTTTATAAAACAATTACCAAATGGTTTTCCAAGCAGGATAGCGTGATCCATGCACTTGGGATGTTGCTTGACTTTCGGAAAGCGTAAAAATGCACTCGCCTGCGGCTCGAGTATTTTTACGCTTTCCGAAAGTCTCGCGACATCCCTCGTGCATGGATCATGCAATCCTGCACGGAAAACCATTCGGTATTCCACTATTCCTTTAGTAAGCATACACTTACATGTGTCCATGGATGATTTTTTTAAATATTTAAGTTTTAACTTTTAAATTCTAATTAACTTTTTTCTCTTAAAGTTATTATATATATAATATATTTTTAGTTTTACATTGTTCACAGGATGTCGTTTATAAATTCGTTTATAATAGTATAATAGTTTATATTGTATCCAGGGGCGGCGCTACAGGGGTGGGGGGTGGGGGGGGGGTGGAACCCCCCCCCACTCGTCAGCTAATCGGCAAATTGTTATCTCAGTCGGCAAAACTGGATTGGCTAAAGATAACCACTGAAGAAACCAAAATTGACCTCCTGAATAATTGAATTCAAACCGAATATCACGAATAGCATGCATCAAAGAAACCACACATGCAGCAATGCAAATTTTTTACGGTGTAAGGTTTAAAAACTGACGGGTATTGTGTATTGTGTATATACGTTAGATGTTTGAAGATCAAATTTCGCGCGTCTGGAGTTAAAATTTGGCTCCAACTTTCGAATTTTCCGGCTGGAGGTAACGTTCCAGTTATATTCCGATTTCAATGATTCGTAAATGCGTGATTAATAGTGCTCCAAGACGTGGAACAGATTTTAAGAAATGCCGAGATTTTGACTCTTCGAGGGCTGCAAAATGGATGCCGACAGGAATTTTGGTTTTCTGATTATGCGTGTCTCAGAATGATGCAAATGCCATTTCCGGGATTCAAATTTATAAAATGTCCGCCACTTGCACACACGGTGGCTTAAAAGGTCTTCAAAACTGTTTATTCTACCGATATATAAAGGGTTTTTTATTGACTGGGATTTCAATAACTCGGACTGGGATTTCTAATAAAAATCCAACTGGGACTGGGATTGGAAAGGTGGAAAATTGGGTTGGGACCACCCCCCCCCCCTCAGGACCCTCACTATAGGCTAATGACTCGGCAAAATTACCAAACAACAGTCTGCAAAAGATTACTCACACCCCACACCCCCCCACTCGAAGAGGGTTAGCGCCGCCCCTGATTGTGTCAACGAAATATAAAAAAATATTCGCGCGGGGCACTGATGAGAATCAAGGAATTTATGTGCCCTTTTGGCTTTTATCGACATGCAATAGCTTTTGTGACGCGTATTTTTTTAACTATCCATGATGATTAATAATACATTTTCGTGACATTTCTTGTGCATAGTAATGATTATTTGCATGTGTAATATATATATATATGTACATTAGAAATGTCATTGTCATAATTATGCGGTCTATACTTTGTTATATTCATTTCTTCAGAGGAAGTCCACGATGGAGGTCAGTCATTTTATCAATCTGATATTCACGTTTGCTGTGAATGTATTGTTCTTTTTCTCGGGAATATTTTTAAATTCCTTGGTCATACTCATTTTATGGAGGTCTGCGCAACTTCGAAAGAAATTATGTTATTTTATGATAATGGTTTTATCCTGTTGCGATTTACTCGTGGTTTTAACTAATTATCCATTGGCGGCTCTTATCGCGATGTTATTACTGGCTGGAAAGTTTAATGTATACCCTAGCTGGGTTCATATTTCCTTACGGTTGTCAACTATTTTCCTCGGTTTTTCTTTACTTGCCCTGTTGGTCATGAATTTTGAACGATATTTGGCTGCATCTTATCCTATCTTTCATCGAACTTCGGTAACGAAGGGAAGACTTTTGACTCTTCTTGCCATACTCATTATTATCGGAGTAACTTTGGTGCTGTTATCAATAAACAACTTCGCAATTTCCAACACAGTTTTTGTGCTAATTTGTTTTATCTTTCTGTTTCCTCCAATGTTGTTCATCAATTTCAAATTGTTCACAATCGCCAGAAAAAGTCGCAGAAACAATAGAATAGCGCCCGAGATAAAAAAGACGTTTTCTTTGAAAAATACATCGAGTTGCTTGCTAGCAGTCGCTTGCTTTGTGGTGCTATCAATTCCAGCGTTCGTCTACATTGGGTTAAGAGATTTGGAGGAGACAACATCGACGTCGGACAATGCAAACATTGCAAGGCTATGGACTAAGACTATAACCTCAATGAATTCAACATTTAACTGCTTAATCTTTTACTGGAAAAACAAGATTTTACGCTCCGAGGGAAGGAAAGTTATTAAAGGCATGAAAATATGTCGAATCCGATCCTAGCCTGACGATTAAGTCTTCTTCAAAAAACTTTTAACTCTTGAAGGAAATTCTTTGGTTCGTCTTGATTTTTCCTCAAACCGGCTTCAATAATCTAGTAGCTGGTCATATAGTGTAGAATGTGAACATTATACATGTCTGCTGTCGTAAACATACAGCTCTGGTGCATGGTATCATATGTGATATCATACATTTGAATAGGAGAACAAATTCAGGAATATTAATAACATTAAAAATAAATTTACTACTTATATAGAGCCAAATTGTATAGTGTATATAATTAAAATATATTATGAAATTTAGTGACATGTTTAGTTCACCCTGCTCTTAAGTTGTTTTTCAAAACTGCAAAATAATAACTACTGCATGAAACAGGTAGTGTTTATAATATATGTTTTATGAGAACTATAACTTAAATATATGACATCTTTATATGTGTACTGTGTGGTGTGGTAATTTTTAAAAAATTATATATAACACCGTTGGAAATCAGACATTAATGTTCACTTCTCATTTTTTCTTTTCAATGACTTTCTGCAGACTATATATTAATCTTTTTTAAAACAGCCCGTACGTGAATTTGCTTTTTGTACTATATCTTCCAAAACTTTGAACAAAATTGTGATTATTTGGTTGACATACAATATCCATGGCCATGCAATATACCGGCAAACACACGCGTGATGTCATAGCTAGCTTTCATACATTTTCAAACGTCGTTGCATTATACTATAAGTCTAAAATCTTCACGAACATATGAATATTGAATTATATAAAATATTCATACCCATGCACATCAAGATATTCAAGACACACGGGCAGTTCATTTAATAAGGATTAAGGTACCGTTAATGAAACGATTTTATGTGAAAAGTGCCGCATGATAATGCACTATTTAGATATATCATTATACTTTAATAAAAACTAAAGTCAGCATTCTATAATTAAATTGTCATACTTCAAACACGACGATGTTATTTTTATGTTTAATATAATATGTACTTCAGAAGGCGTTTGCATATTTGCTGTGAACGTATTGTACTTTTTCTCAGAAATATGTTGAAATTCCCTCTTCATACTCATTTTATGCAGGAGGTCTGCAACTTCGAAAGAAATTATGTTATTTTATGTAGTGGTTTAACTAATTCATTGTCCGCGTCAACTTATCGCGATGCTAAGTTCCGAACAGAGCGATTTAAATAAACATTCATAAATATATGTCTTTTTAACTTTCATATTTTCTTAATAGATTTTTAATACTTTTAATACTTTCTAGTCCATAGTTGTACAAAATTGTCTATGTAATCTTATTAATTTTTTAATAAAGACTTAAACAATCAATCAATCAATGTTATTACTGACTGGAAAGTTTAATGTATACAGTTATTTCAATTAAGGTTGTCCACGAGCAAAGCGGAAAAGTCGAATACGAGCGCGAAAGGCTGCTGGGAATCGCTAACAAATTATTGAATTTTCATAGCGATTCCCAGCAGCCTTTCGCGCTTGTATTCGACTTTTCCGCTTTGCTCGTGGACAACCTTAACTGAAATAGCTGTATCTTAGGCTAGCTGTGTGTGTGTGTGTGTGTGTGTGTGTGTGTGTGTGTGTGTATATTTCCTTACGGTTATATTTTCCTTTATAGCTTGACCTCTAGAAAGAGCTGTTTAATAAAACAATTTAATTGATGATTTATTTCAATTATGTAGAACCGACTCAAACAGCACACCTGCGAATGATATCGAAAAAAATGGAACCCCACAAGATGCTGAAAAAGTTTCTGGGTAATAATTTATCAATTTGTTTGTTTGTCTTGCATATATACAAACTGACACAACCATATATGTCATTATGCCATTATGTGTGCAACAACAAAGTATACTAGACTATTTCTGATGACAAATATAAGGAAGTATGATATATCCCATAACGTTTGTGTGTAAAAACGTTCCTCAATCTTCTTGTCAAGGGAAACGTGCCTCAGGATCGAGATCCCACTTTTTTTTCCAACGAAACTCAATTAGGCCAAAAAATATGTGGGTTTCCAGTGTCCCGACCCTACCTTAGCTTGTGGATGCCGAAATCCCGACCCTAGACGTTTTATTGGTTCATGCTTGTAAGTGTTTCCACTTAGAGGAAAACGTTTGTGCAAAATGGGAATTTTGAGGCAATATAAGGGAAATTTATCTTTGGACGTGGAAGCACTGACTAAACAAACATGGCGTCCGGTTGTCATATATGCATGAAGTCTTAATAGGAAAATTAAAAAAATTTAAAACCGACCTACCCTACCTAAGTTTTTACAAGAAGAAACGGGAAACCCACATATTTTTTCCTATTAAATGTCTTCATATATTCCAAATTTGCCTTTGGCGCTCCCGAAGGTTCGACTGTAACTATAAACAATAAAGAAACACTTTTTTCCAGCAAATCGAAATTATTAAATGTATTTGTTCATATTCCAAATGTGTCTTTAGCGCTCCCGAAGATTCGACTGTAACTACAAACAATAAAGAAGCAGAAGGTATCGCCGAACCAACAGGTTGGTATACAACATGATGTACAAGAAAAATGGGCCCCATCTTTTGTGGTTAAGAATTTTCAGAAAACTTGTTCGTATAAAATGATTCTTAAATGCACAGTTCGGCCTTTTCATTATGGTTTTTAATGTGATGTGAGCATGCGCACAACATTAACTTGTCCAAATTCATTAACTTGTCCAATTATTTCATATAGGCAGCCCAATGGCTAGGCGTGTTAAATATGGCGAATATATAAAAAACAAATAGGTTGCCCGATATACGGACGACGTCACTCGCTGCAAACTAATAAGCCTAAGGTTCCTTCCTAAGGTTCGACAAAAAATCAAATTAAACATCGCTATACCTTAAAACTATCGAAAAAAACTCGAAATATTTAAGAAATATACGCTAAAATAATAACAAAACTTGAATCTATGACCGTTTTACCAGATTCTTACAATTGTTTTGCGATATCGTGCATCGAAATCATAAAACCATGCATGTGTGTTAGGTCAACATACTACAAACACATGTGTCGACAAATTTGAATAAATTATCTCTAAGAGTTGTAAAAGTTTTTTCAGAAAGTAATTGTGAAATTTGACGTCATTGTGAGTATAATTTGTGTATCAAACATTGTTAAATATCTCAAGAAAAAAACAAAGTAAGATAGCTTTGGAAAAGTATCTTATCAGTCATTTTGAATTTTCATCACAATGCAATCATTGAATAATGGCGTGTTCTTTCGTTGCATAAGCCATAAGAACTTCAAAAATTATACCTTTTCTCTCGAAGCTGTGTATATTTACTGTCATGAAATAACGAGAAATGTGTATATTAACTGTCATGAAATAACGAGGTTGGTCTTTACATTGGACTCGTGTCTTGTTGACCATATACCTTCAATCTTTGTTATACTTTTCTATAATTGTAAAGTTAATAAAATAAAAAATAGAATAGGTCATAATTTTACAAACGTTTTACCAACTACACTCCCAAAATGGGTCAACGACAATAAGAAATGTACAAATTCACATTTGAAACCATCATTCAAAGGTTAAACTATGCCTTTATCCTGCATGCACCAGCCCCAAATCACCATCTATAATCATTCCTCACATTAATAGTTCCCGCAACAGAGGCCGCTGTCGACAAACCTCCTTCAGAACCAGCTAGTATCCAGCCTCCTACGTCCGATCTCGCTGCCCCTGTAGAACAATCAATGGAATTCTAGTTCCTATGGTAACATACTGACGCTATATAGTCGTCATCATTTGCAAGAAATAAGGTTACAAATGGATGTACGTACTTAAATAATTTAATTTTTATGCTCACAGCTGGGTTTCGCTAAGCAGTATCGCGCAGCAGTTATGAAAGTTAGAAAATTTAATTCATTATATGAATTAGTCTTGTTTTAATGCAGGGTGCGAATTAACGGCCTACAAATGGCGAAAAGCAGTTTTGTAGGCAAAATTATTACCGGCCTATAATTTTCCTGGACAATTTGTAGGCTAACATTTATATGCCCTTGACGAGTGAAATAGTCTGGCGTTAGACAGAGTAAAAGAACGAATTTGGGCGCATCAGGGCCACACTGCTACTGAACGTGTTAGACACTGGGAATCACTTGCCGAACGGTTGGCCAAATAAATCTTGTGGCAGTGAAAGAAACACATAAACTAAACCGTCCAAAACAACTTTCGTAACAAAACATGGTCTGTAGTTTTTGAAAATATTTGTAGGCCAGAAAAACATTCTTAATTTGCACCCTGTAATGTGTTTATTTCTTTATGTCCAACGCTTGTAAAATTGTCCACTATCTGCTGCTTCGTAACGGCTTACTTGAAACCCACTAACTGTAGGTAACTTCGTTCTAAGAAAGCAAACAAACTTCTCAGTTCTCAGCCCTTGTTCAGTCAAACGAGGATGAGAGTTGCAACTCTCTCACGTTTGACTGCCAACTCTCATCAACTTTGAGCTGGTTCAAATTTGGACGAGAATTGACGAGAGTTTTCGCTTTGCGCGTGGTAACATCCTGTCAACTCTCAGCAACTCTTGTTCTCGTTTGACCGGGGGAAGGGAGGTGCGAAAATAATATCTAATGGATATCACGAAACTAGGTTGACAAGAAAGGTTCTTAAGAATTCCTGAATAAAAATTACAGTCAGGCCTCTCCAATATGGGCACTGAAGGCACATAGCAAAGTTGTGGGGATTATAGGGAGGTGTCAATTTTAAAGTAGTTTTCAAAAGAAAATATATGAGAATGATTCCATTCAAAACTGATCATAATTTATAGGTGTCGGTACATGGTTATTAATATTATCTAGTGCCTGCATGCAGGCAAAACTCACAACTTCGTAATGTGCCTGCAAAAATGCATCATATTTTAGGTTTTTACAGCTAAATAGTAAGTATTATTTAAATGTGAAGATTTTGAACAGCTTCACAAATTCAAAAGGTGCCTGCATACGATCACGCTCATGCATTTTAACAACGTGTCTGTGTCAGTATTAGGAAATTGAGATGGAATGGGGTTCAACTATCTGAAAAAATAGAAGTAAAACTGCGACGTTTGGAGTGAAGGGCCTTCAGGAAGTGTAGTAGTGAACTACTAACTACGTTTCTCCGATATAAAGCATGCCACATTTACTGCATGAGATGTAACATTTCAAGTCCGCGCAATTTGATCAAGTTCGAGACGAAGCCGAATTGGAGGATTCGAAATGACATCTCGTACGAATAAATCACTACTTAAAGTGAGGTGAATTAGTCCAAGGAGTGAATTAATTTTGATCCAGTTTAAGGACTGAATCAATATACTTCACCAGGTATCCAGTATTAACATGTGAGCAAAATAAAGCAATATGGTTGGCTAATTTACTCATGAATTATTAATGAGTTTGAGATGCCGTAGATGAGATTGGAGGAAGTGCACGTGAAATGGTACTCAGATTTAGCTACTGAAATGGTAGTAGAGGCATCTATGAACTTACAGGTTCACGAAGGACTTTCGCTTGAAACGTCGAAGTTCTCCTTGTATTTTTTCAGGTAGTTGAATCCCTATTCATCTCAATTTTCGGGTGTTTTGGTATTACCTACGCTGGCACAGATCGTGCGAGTCTGCGTCAGTATTATATATACCAATGGAGCAATTGGCAACAGGCTACTTTGATCGTACTTACACAACAAAACCATAGATATCTTGTATACACTAGATAGCGCATCTCTTTTAGTAAAATTGAAGCCAAGAATATTCCAGCGGTTACCCCCCATTTGAATAGATGGCGGCCATGTTGGAGTTTCCCACTCGCTAATAAACGCTTAAAAAACAACAATAACTTTCATCATTTGAATAGTTTGAAAATGTATTTGGAATAGGTTTAACGTAATGTTTAAGTTCCCTGTTTAAAAAATAGAAAACATACGAGTCTTCTCATTTCATGGGAATATCCTGAATCTGCAATCACGGCTTCAATTTTTGAATTGCAGAATAATTAGATGCACTATCTAGTGTATATAAGATATCTATGAACAAAACACAGTCATATAGCCACATAACCAAGCATGTTCACTCCATATAAACACCCTGGTTAAAATGTAAGTTCTGTTTAACTCAGAAATAACACTATTTGGGTTAACTTAATATTCCTGATTAAATTTTCTGGTTATTTTTTCCCCATTTCCTACCATACTCTGGTTAATGTAACCAGAAATGTGGTTATATTTGACCAGGACGTCCTTGTTAAAATAACCAGACTATGTTAGGTGGATATATAAGTTAATCTAAGCTGGAATCCACTTTCGAAAGCACGGAGAAACAAGAATTATTGCATGATGACTGATGTTGTGGCAGAAACTATTTGCCGTTTATTTGTTATCTTTTATACTGCAATCACCCACTAAAGTTATTGTAATAGTAATACAGTTGATGTTCTTGGGCATAATTTCCATAAATATGTTTTTGGCCCTCCTCAGACCTCATTTTAACCCTCGCTACGCTCGGGCTAAAACGAGTTTGAGTCCAGGCCAAAAACATATTTTTACCCGCGAACATCAACTCTATTGTTATATTATATACACGTATTAGAGAGGTGTTCCCTAAGGAGAGGCTTGACTGTAGTTTGCCCAAAATGATTTGTTAAATTACTTTATACCAACTTATTTTCAACAATCAAGGTTATCTGTAATGCATCATGGATAATTGATTTGGCAAATCACATAGAAAATCGTACTGTACAGTATTTATATATTTTGCGCATGTAGTTTTCTGTAAACGCTTGTATTCTAAATAAAGGTTTTTATTGACAATATTGATTATTGGTGAGTTGTAGTCCTGTAAAGTCAATAAAGGATATAAGTTCAACTCTACGTACAGTTTACGCCAATATTACGGTTTGATACTCCTTTGTTTTCAGTCGCGTACCACCATGGATAATAAAATAAATCACTACAATACCACGTAGGTACGGGGCGACGGGGGGGAGGTTGTTCTCCGGAAAAAAATGTTTCCAGGAAAAATTTTTTAGATAGGGGCCCCTAAAAAAAATTTGCCCCGGGCCCCCGCCAACCTCTCGGCGGCCCTGCGTAGGTACACGGAAATCTGCGCACTTACTTGTACTGAGACTTTTCCAAGTCCAATGTATTCAAAACCGTAAAGTATAGGTATATGTTTAAAGCCCCGTTTACACTACGCTCAATTTTTGGTACGGCACGGATAAAATTGGTACCCGTACCACTTTCCTGGTTCTTGGACTATGCCTATTTAAGCCCCGTTTACACTACGCTCGATTTTTGGTACGGCACGGATAAAATTGGTATCCGTACCACTTTTTTCGTTTCAAAAACCTAGCAAAATTAAGCCCCGTTTACACTACGCTCGATTTTTGGCTATTTAGGTAGTCCAAGAACCAAAAAAGTGGTACGGGTACTAATTTTATCCGTACCGTACCAAAAATTGAGCGTAGTGTAAACGGGGCTTAAATCTGACATGTCTTGGCATGAATTGGACTGTCAATACACGCTTCCGCAAAGTAGCCCACCTTGGCTATAGAACTTCGTTTTCGTGCTTGAGATGTGAGGCTTTCACATACACGAAAGCGAGGCTGCGTAGCCAAAGTGACTTACTTTCCAATCTCGTTCCCAGAGTATGCCTGTTCGCGGGTTAGGTCATGCCACAACCTAACCCGCGAACAGGCATACTCTGGGAACGAGATTGCTTACTTTCCAGAAGCGTGTGTTGTAGTGTTGATACGAATGAAGCCAAGTATAGATATACGTGATACTCTCGCTATCTGCGTGCCTACGTTTTGTTTAATCCAGCATCTTCGAGATCGCGGGATTTGATGGTACTTAAACGGCAGAGTGGTTTGAAAACGACACAGAAATGTCGCAATTAGCCATCGCGTTCACAATATGCCGGAGCGAAATTGTTTGAGGACAGTTTCTAAACGGAGCGAGGTGGAAACTGGAAACGGAGCACTGCCAGGCTTCATGTGAACACAAACGCCGTTACTTTTTTCTACCGCTTGCAAATCAAGCATCTCGGCACAGAGTAGATACATATATAGAGTTATAACTAGTGTACCCACTTTTTTGTGCGCATGCTTGGCAAGTTACTAGATGCATGCATCCGATTCGATGACGACCTGATGACGACTCCAGTTTAACTGCTCGCTGAGCACGCGCAGTTGATAATTTTTTGCCTGGTCGCCTGAAAAAGAGTGGGTAGTGTTTACGACCGTCAGTTACATCTCTGTATGTCTCTACTCTGAGATGTCGGGTCTTACGTTTATAGCAGACTAGCAGCTACCGACAAGTTTACAAGCGAGATCTCGCCTTGGTATTATTATTTAAAAATATTTTAAAACGGTAGCTCTTCAGGGCTCGTAGGCACCTGCTTTTCAAGAGGCCAAAATAATATGAAAAGTTACACTGCGGTCATATGAGACAAAATGTTTTCCCGTGTACCGAGATCTCGCTTGTTGACAGGCGAGATCTCGGTGACCGGGATAATGTTTTTCCCATATGAACACAAACTTTCCCGCTTAGCGGGATAATTTTCTGTCGTGTCAGCAACTTTTCATTTCAATTGATGTTCAGTGCCACGTCAGCCGAAAACTTTACCCGGTAAGTGGGATAATATTTCTCCATATGAACAGAACAAAAGTATTTGGCTAGTCGAAAAGTTTTCTCGTTAACTGGGATAACTTTTGCCCATATGAGCAGGCCCTCAGACAGGGCCGCCGAGGGGCAAATTGCCCCGGGCCCCGAGTTGCTGGGAGCCCCTGAACATTTTTTGTTGGGCCCCAGCCTTTTTTGTGTTAAATATTTCCGCGCAAAGGACAAGATATCTGTTTTCTTGGGCTAAGTACCGAATTTTGGCATAAAAAATGAGATAAAGTCCCTCGAAAGCAATTGCAACGTACTCGTCCGGAAAAATTTTGTACTCCGGAAAAAAAATTTTACCCCCTAAAATGGTACACTGACCGAAAATTTTTTGGCAAACGAAAAATTTTTAGATAGGGGCCCCTAAAAAAAAATTGCTCCGGGCCCCCGCCAACCTCTCGGCGGCCCTGCCCTATGCCCTGCCCTCGGATAGAATCATTACTTGTCTGATTTTTCCAAGCTCTCCCCCCCGTTTCCTGGCCGCATGGCATCATGGATGGAACGATGAAAATATTAAAATATACCATCAGCACTGACATGGCGAAAAAGAAATCAATTATAGACTTTAAATTTATCCATTTTTTTTTGCTTTAAATAGCGAATATATCTACAATTTTTATTTATTTCGGTAACTTAGTACTTCCCAAAGTCATGGCTTGGCGGAGTTTGAGCGAATTGAACGAAGACATGGTTAAAAATTTCAAACAAATGTCGATAGTTTCGAGCAAGGATGTCGAGAATGCTTTTCTAAATGTGCCTCGAGCTGCTTTCTTGCCGGAGTATCTTCACGACGAAGCTTATGCGGATTATCCAGTGCGAGGAGATGACCATTTGCACATGAGTGCGCCCCACATGTACGCCACTGTCTTAGAAGCGTTAGATTTAAAAGAAGGTTTGTACTTTGTAAACCATAAACTAATAAACTATTATCTGTTGTAATAGCAGATTTCAGTTTTTTAATATTGTTATATAATTTGTATACTATGTAGTAAACATTATTGTAGCATTTTTAAAAGGGAAATTATTATTATTGTCCAACTTTTATCCCTCATAAACAACGTTAAATTTAACAAAACATGTTTTTGTGACATGTTTATACTTTCATATAAATTGCTATTAAAGGTTTCAAATTTAAATATTGGGTCAATGTATTATCATGTCATTTATACAAGTCTTTATATATGATAATATTGTTGTATTCTTTCATAGATTGATATTGACATATATATCATGTTTTGATAAAACAAGTGAAAGTCTGGCCTGTTTGATATATTTCAGTGAATTTAATTCGAAGTACTGTATTTGAATGAATGAAAATACGTAACAGTAGTGTGTTGACTTGTATGATGCAATTATATTCATCTGATGAGTCGTGAATTAAGTTCGTAGACATTTTGTCTGTCATGTTCTTATGCTCCTATCATCGGTTCTTATGCTCCTATGCTATTAGAAACCTGAAACAAAACTTCATAATTCCCCGTAGATCCCGGGTGGACAATCTGCTCAAATACCCTATAATCTCCCTGCTTCCCCTTGGAACGTCCCAGGGTTGTACCGCCAGGGATGGCTGATGATAGCAGATAGGAGCATTAAAGGTAAAATGTCTGTAGCATCACTAGCATCTTCATTTCATATGACATTGTACTGTCATGTTGAGTTATTAACAGTTGATTTCACATAACTTTTCCCTAAATATTGTGTGCTTCGTTTCAAACTTTGTTGTGAAGTTCAAAAGTTCATAGTAAAATTCACAAGCCGGTTTGTAAACAAAGCATTTGATTGGCTTATTTTTGTTCAGGGGCCAATCAGAGGCTTTGTTCAGACCTGCCAACCCTTGAGTAGCAGAAATAGTGAGTTGCTATCTAAAAAGTCGTGAGGTTGACTGAAAAATCGTGAGACTTAGGAATTTTCAGGTTTGCTCATTAATATCACCAGGGTTAACTTTAACAACACTAGAAAATATAAAATAATCAATAGATATTCAATCTTATGATAGTATGCACTTATATTTTGTTAATATAACCGTAAATGCAAGGCTTATTAAAAATAGGCTGTTTTTTCTTTATGGCTTTAGTGGCTTCCAGTGTCAGTACGAATTCCTTGGAAATATAACGCAATATCTGTACAAAAACAAGAAAGCTACAAGTAATATTAAGACTAGCAGGACAATAAACTTAGCAGGACACGCCTTTTACTTTGTAACACAAACATGCTGCATACAAAATTCTGGCGTTGTACATTGCTCGTGAGATTTGGGGACTTAATCGTGAGACTTGGAAGGTCTGCTTTGTTTACAAACCAGATTGTGAATTTCAGTATGAACTTTTGAACTTCACAACGAAGTTTGGAATGAAGTATGCAATATTTAGGGAAAAGTTATGTAAAATCAACTGTAAAAGCATATTTTATGTTAGACCTGAACAAGCTTTTGTTGGTAGGGTTGCAACTACATGAATTTTAATATAAGGAGAATTTTGATGTTTCGAGCGAAGGCCCTTTGTCTGGAGTTACTACTTTGTGTCAGATCCCATAATTTGTGTTTCATTGTAAGACCATGGGAATTATGAAAGTCGTAGATTTGTGTCCACCGCCCACATACCTCGAAAGCTACCTATTATTTACAAATTTTCGCTTCATTTTCACAAATAAAGTGAAACTCAAATTCCTGGCATTGAATAGAAATGAAATGAACATTTTGCAATATGTTTGTCCTCAGTCCCCACATTCTTGTGAAAAGGCGAAATTGGCACACAGATTTCAGTGATGTTACCGTGTGAGCTTATCAGTGATATATGTAATTCCACGGCGTGAATGGTAATTTGTATTTTTACCTTGTATATTTACTGCAAAAACAATGGTAAAAAATAATGAGTAATGAAAAAAGCTGCATGCTTTTTCAAAATTATCTGGATGCAAATCTATGACTTTCATTCCCATCATTCCCATGGGCAAATCCATGATGGCTTGTCATGAGCTGAATGTGTTGTTTGGAATTAAAACAATCAACAAATTTAGTATTGAAGGAGGGATTACTATTATTTAAATTAAATAATAATCCCTCCTTCAATACTAAATTTGTTGATTGGTCGAATTTAAAATGGTTTAGACTCAACTAACAATTATTGTTGCATTTGCCAAAATAGGTTGTTCCATTAAAGATATACACTCCCCACATTACTGCTGTTTCAAGGGGAGGGGGGAGAAAATGTTTTCCCAATATGTATTAGGATATCTGGGTAAGTGAGGGGGAGGATAGGGGTTAACTTCCAATTTCCTCTATGGGAAAGGTATGGATGTTTTCTGGAATGACCCTTATCTTACAAAATAACTGTGAAACAAATCAAAACATAAATATTTTTGTTGGTCTGGTGAAGCCACCTGAATTTCTAACAAAACTTAAAATTGACTGTTTTCACCTTCGGGCCAAATTCAATGGGCGCAATCAACCTAATGGATTAATTAGACACATGGGCAGTCAGCACTCTTGACAAGTAAAATCATCTGGCATTAGACAGAGTGAAATAATAAAGTAGGGCACAATGGAACTTAATTGAAAAAACACTTCTAATTTTGTCCTGAAATAGGTCTAATTCATCAATTAAAATTGTCTTGGATAAATAACACAGTATTTATTAAAGAACAAGACAGTCTTTACACTCTGTTCAGACCTAAACAAACATAAAGTGAGCAAGGAACAAAAAAATTAAACCTGTTTGTGGAAAAAAGAGGGTTGTTTGGGAAACCGGAATCACAGAATATATTTTTAGTGTTTATGTGTGGAAACTCATCAGAAGTAATTTTTCATTCTGTTAAATAATAGGGATGTCATTTCTAAACATTGGCAGTGGGACCGGATACTTCTCCATGTTAGTTGGGTATATAGTTGGTAGCCAAGGCACCAATCATGGTGTTGAATTGAGAGCAAACCTTGTGGAACATGCCAACGAGTGTTGCGAAGAGTTCTTTATGTACTTTCCAAAAATGAAGAAACAGATATGTTACCCACAATTCATTGCTGGCAACTGTTTCCATGTCGATCCAACAGCACATAAGTATGATCGGCTATACTGTGGGGCGGCATGCCCTCGGGAAAGGTTTGAGTTCTTGTTGGAGCTCATTAAGCCTGGAGGCCTCATTGTGGTACCTAGTGGCAATAAGGTAGGTGGCTTGTATTGTTGTATATGTATTTGCCAGGGTAAAGTGAGAAAGTAGTCTAGTGGTGATCGCCATTGAGTGCCAATGCTCTCCCCTTAACGAGAAAAATAATCTGGCATTGGTCAGAATTAAATAATAAAATAAGTTCACGTTGTTTATGTCCAGAAAGACGCAAGCACAAAATTGCCTAGATAGCTTGCGCGCGCTCTATCATGTAATTCCTCCATCCCTGACTGATGACTTGTAGAATTCCAATCAAACTTCAACTTACCAGGTAAGTCTCATTTAATTTTTAATTTTATGGGTTAACCCACTGAGTGGCAGCACTCTCCCCCTGACAAGTAAAATTGTCTGGCATTAGAAAGAGTAAAATAACAAAATAGGGCGCATCTTGGTGCATTGCCACTTAAAAGGTAAATGTCCAATATTTCCCTCTAGACTAGAGGTATGCATCAGATTGGATTGGAGGTTTAAACGGAAGCACCGGGAGCCTTTAGTTTTCATAGCAGCTCTGGTAATCGAAGTCTGATCCGACTACGAAAATACTTTTCTGATCCGAAGTGAATATTATGGTTCCGAAATCCAAATGAATCCGGATTTGGATTGGTTTCAGATCAGTTTCGGGTTGGATTGGCACATCTCTACTCTAGACAATTGAAAATTAACATTGTTTTGTCATTAATTTTAGTTGCTGAAATTGGAGCGCCTTATTCAAACTGGTGTTAATGAAAATGTTGTAAGTGATGTGTGTTTTGAGTCACTTGTACTGCCTGTGGACGATGAACATTTTCCCAAACTACGATTTGCCTCCTTTAAACAAAAGGCAAAGAAGGTAGGTTCAACCTGATTGAGTGAACATTGAAGTTTTGGGCATCTTGCTTGATAGAACTTTTAAAAAATTCTGTTCTATTGAGTGGAATACCCAAAGTGTTCAATATTGCAGGGGAGCTGCAGGTATAATTCTTGTTGGAAGGCCTACAACTCTAAAATATGGGGAAAAAATTCTTGTACACAAGATTGTAACCCTTTTCGTAAAGAATACAAATTATGTATTTGCCCCTGCATATGTTTTACAAACAGTAACTTATTGCTATTAAATTGAATCTGAGTACTTTCACAAACCCAGAAAAATTTCTGCAGTTTTGCTCTATTGCAGTACTTATAAACATGCTGTACTTCTAAGACCCTGAGTAAAAAAATTCAAAAAATATCAACCATTTGGTTAGCCTTACAGTATGTACAGTACCATTACTGGCATTTTTGTATTAAGAATTTTTCAATAACTTTAGATAAAGATATATCCTCCGCCTGGTCTACTTATTCCCAAGACTTCAGCAAGAAAATCTTTATCAAGACTGAGAGCTTTACAAGATGTTGTAGGTAGGTTTAATATGAGACATTAGAATGCTGTTGTTTTTTTTAGGATTTGTAATCCAAGTGAGTATATATAATTATACACTTTTTTAAGACTTGATTTTTTGCAGTCGTTCCTGGTCAGGTCTTAAAAAAGTGTATAATATACTCACTTGGATTACAAACCCTAAAAAACCCCAGCATTCTAATATTAATTCCACCAAGTGAAATGCAAGAAACCAGGTCATTAATATGAGACAATAGCAGAAACCATTCCCTCCTCATCCCCCTCCCCCACCAGTGTCCACAGAGCCTGCAAAAGATGTGCGGCAAGTGTACTTAGCTTGGTGGGACAGCCATAACTGGAAAAACATGGCAAAATAATTTGACAAACATGGTTGATTGTTTATATAAGACTATGTGAGGTTATAAAATAGAAGGTTGCTTGACTTATTGTCCACATACAGGAAATTTTTATTTATTTTGGATTTTGCTGCCAGGAAGAGAAATATATTTCCTAGGCCTGCACCTACAATCTTTGCCAGAAACTATGGGACAGCTGCTGTCATCGTCTCTCAGCATGTCTCCTCTCTCAGCATGTCTCGTCTCTCAGCAAGTACTGTAAACAGAAGCAGTCACCCCCCTGGACGTACGCCATTTTGAATATTTTCAAGGGGAGACTGCTTCTTTTTACGGTACTTGCTGAGTGACGAATCATGACGAATAGCGCTTACGCAAAAAAACAATGAAGATGGACTTCTGTATAGTATTCTGTGCCTTTACTTAGTCGACTGATATTATGACGTCTTTATAAAATCAGTAGAGAGTTTAAGTTCGACTTCCAATACCGATACCGATGTTTGCTCTTCCGTTCTCATTTTGGTACCGGGAATTTTAAAGCGTTAAGTTATCACGACAGATAAAGTATAGAACACATTAATCGTCACCGAAAATGTGCGATACACTAAACGGCAGCTGAGCTAAAATTCCGACTAAAACATGACTCAGGCGATGCTAATAAACAAATAGTTTACATGTTTATCGTAAAAATTACGAAATATCCGATTTATATGAGTTTATCTTACAATTCCCCCGACTTCCAATACAAGGCCGACTTCGGTAGTGGTGACTTCCAATACACTTGTTCTCGTGCTTCTTGCAAGCAGAGAGCATGTGCGTGACATGTTAGTATCGGTATTGGTATCGGAAGTCGAACTTAAACTCTCTAGTATCGGTAGATTGTGGCATGAATAATCGGTAATTTCTGATTGCTGCACAATCCGTCAATCACTACTGGGTAGGTCTAATAAATGTGTTAAATTCGCGCTCGCCATCTACAAAACCCTTGTATTTCTCTCAACTGTATTGTAAAGGCATGCTATAAACTGACTTCATCCAGAAGAAAGTTATCCGAATTATAAATTTTTCTGAATATAATAGTCATACTAGTGAACTATTCAAAAAACTCGAACTCATGAAATTCAAGGATATTGTATTCCTTCAGTATGCTTTATTCATGTACCAATTTCATCACAAAATTATTCCTACAGTTTTTGAGGAATTCTTTACCCCAACTTCTGAAGTTCATAAATATAGTACTAGGCTTGCTTGTCAAGAGTCATTTTATATGCATAATATCAGATCTAATTATGGTAAATTTAACATTAGATTTTCTGGTGCTAAAATTTGGAACTGTCTTCCTTATCATTATAAAGTTCTTAGTTTATCCAGCTTCAAACACACAATCATATGTGGCTTTCTTTCCAACTATTAATTATATATTTATAGTTTTGTATTCCATATAACTTAATTCTGTGTATATGTTATGTCTACATTATGCTTGTGCTTATATTTTGCATATATATATAAAAATTTATTTTTCTTAAATCTCTATATAATGCCATCAATCCCCCAGCTAATTGAATATTAGTAATTTAATTCAAATGGGTTATCTGACTCGATTAACTGTATATGGTTATCTCAGAAACCCAGCACGAATTATTTTGTCTTATTCATTAATTATTAATCGTTCTAAAAAAAATTTTGTATATTTTTTATTTTTGTAAAAGCGTGCTGAATAAAGTCTTCTTCTTCTT